CCCCCCCCCCGGCCGCTTTGCACTGCAGTTTTTGTAGCCGTCTCGGTGACCCAGCAGCATGCTGAGCGCGGCACTGATCCTGCCCGCTGGGCTCAGCCCCTCCGTGCGTGCCCGTACCCTCTCTGCCAACCCGCGGAACCCGGGGCAGCCCCAGCTTTTGCCCCCTAACAGCCCCGGTGCTTCGGCAGCGGCGTGCCAGGGCCCCGGCTGGTGATGGGAACACCACCACGGTCGGCGTGTGCAGAGCTCGGCTCCAGGTCTGCCCCGCGTGCCGGCAGGGCAGACGGTGCCTTTTTGGGGCTGGGGCAGCGGCACCCACGCCTGCCGAAGGGCTCGGCTGGGACACGTTGGGTGCTGAAGAGGCTCCGGGCGAGGGAGGAATCACGGCAGGCCTTTTCCGCTGGGTTCCTGCCCCTCCTGCAAAGCACCGTGCCCTGCACCTCTGGGTGCTCCTGCCTGTCCCCAGTCCCCCCCCTCTTTCTGGCTGCATCTGTCCCCGGGGGTGCCCGGGGTGGCAGTGGGGGTGCAGAGAAGGCTCAGCCCCAGGATCGCCACGCTCCCACAGGTGTTTCTGTGCAAAGTTTGCCTTTGGTGCAAACAAGAGCAGGCACATGTCCCTGAGGAGCCTTTGCAAAGGGCTCGTGTTTGCTCTAAGAGAGGCCTTTGTACTTGGAGAGGGAGCCGGGCAGGGGAGTCGGGAACCATTTATTGCAGCCACGCACGGGGGCTAAACCCCCTCTGCTCCCGGCTGCCCCGGCATCAGCGCCCTGACCCCAGGGCCAGCTCGGGCTATTCCCGCATCCCTGTGGGTGCCCAGTCCCACAGGCTCTTTTTGGGACTGCGGCGCAGGCTCAGCTGCCCACCCACAGCGTGGGTGCGAGTTGCCCGTCGTGGTGCCGCGGTCCACGGCACGGTTCACCCCGAGCAGCTCGTGGTACCCAAAGGGCTCCAGCTGATGCGGGTGGGAGAGGGGCGAGTGCCGCACCGCGGGCAGGCTGGCCCCGACGCTGGCACGATGTTTTCTCGCAGAGCCTGGCCGGAGGGGTGCCGGCGGCACGCAGAGCCCGGCTCCGGGGCGAGACGCCCTGCGACTCCCTCCCTGCCCCGTCCCAATGGCCGGGGCTCGCCCAGACCCCGCTCTGGCAAATAATATGTCCCAGGGAGCACCCAGATCCCGTGGGCCTGGGGACTGCGGGAAAGCCACCCGGTCGGAGATGCCCCAAAGCCGCTCCGAAAGGTGTGGGGAGCAGCGGGCGCAGCACACCTCCCCATGCAGATTCCCTGTGTGCACAGGGAGATGCAGATTAGATAGATCGTTTCTGTAGGGAGCTGGGTTTATAATCCATCCGTATAAATTCTTGGCATATTTCACCGAGGATGTGGAGTGTATTTACCTGTTTTCAAGGCTGACAAAGTGGGTGAGCGGGTCCAGGGATCCCTGGGGAGAGGGACAGGCTTTGCCCCCCACCTGCGCGTGAGGCTGGGGTGGGAAATGCCTCTTTCTCGGTCAGCGTTGGCGGCCGGGCTTCATCGGGGTTAATTTTGTGCAAGAAAAAAACACCTTTCCTCAATTTCGGTGGAGAAGGACCGCAGAGCCAGGGCTATAAACTGGTTTTCCAGTATTACAAGGCACTCCTGGGTTGGGTTGGGTGTGTTGTTTTTTTTCTTGTAAAGCCCCGGTGTAGATTGGACAATTAATGGGTTTTTTTTCATTTTGGTGACAGAACCAAAAAAAAAAAGAGCTTGCGTTGAATCAAAAGGTTTTCCTCTGTGGCTTTTTAGGTTAACCAAAAAAGAAAAAAAAAAAAAAAGCCAAACACTCAAAGGTTTCATTTTGGGTCAAGTTGAAACAAAATGTTTGGGTTTGGCTTCAGGTTGTTTAACCCTTTTGAATACGGTCAAGTTGATTGGTAAAGAAATATCACTGCTCAGAAATTAAGAGCCAAGTAATTGTTTTGAAAGTGTAAGTGTGAAACACGCTGCAAATATCAAAGTGAAGCCTTTCTTAAAATAATAAAATGGAGGGAAACTCAGCGACTTTTTTCCTAATTCTCACATATTTTTTCCAGCCAAAACACTGCCAAATTTTATTTAAATTCAGAAATCACGTTTGTAACCCCCGAGTCACTAGTTTGACATTATAAAAGTGTGCTCTGTTGCACTGGCTTGTGATTTAACTCTGGGAAGACTATGCCCTTGGCTCAGTTGTGAACCAAACTGCTATTAGAAATGATAATGAGCTCTGTTCCATTAACTTATTATTAATCAGTAATTAGTAGGATCAGTTAGGTGATATGAACCGCTCGTGACAAAAGTCCGCCTGAGCCCCTCGGCTCACGCACGGCGAGAGGCACGGCGGCCAGCAGGCTTTCCCCTGCTTCGCCGGGAAGGAGCGTGCGGAGGAGAGCTGCGGTGGAAGGACGTTTTCTTCACATCCTTCTCGTCGGTTCCCACCTTCTCCTGGGGCAGCGCGAAGACCCGAGAACCCCGAAACCCCGCGTGCCGCAGCCATCCCCGCTCCTGGTGCCGACCGGCCGAGAAGTGCCCCCGCCTGCTGTCGGCACCCACGTTTGCTGCGGGGGCTGCTGAGCCCGTGGCCATGAGTTTTGGGGACAGGAGATGGCTTTTCTGTTTGCATCGTGCTTAACCCAGTCTGGGGTCCGGGATGTTGGGAAAAACGGAGTCAGCGTGTCCGTGTGCCCGTGCGTACGTACAGCTCCGCAGGTCCGCAGTGCCATGTGCCCATCGCCGGAGAGAGGACACCATATATACGGTGGGCTTCCCCTGCCCGGAGGATGCAGGATTTGGCACAGGGACAGTGTCTTTAGGAAGGCTCCGTGCCCTCCTTCCCAGGGTCTGACAAAGCCCCCGGCGCCGTCAGCGGGCTGGCCCTGGTCGGGTACTTTTGCTTTGGATCCAACCAGCTTTGTTTTCACGCTGTATTCAGGACAAAAAGTAAGAAATCTACTTGTTGGGGTTTTTTTTTTTTTCCCCCTTGACAAGTTGAAGGATCCAAAATAAGTAATGAATTGGGAAAGCAGTCGGACGGTTATTCCAAGTGCAGCGTTAGAGTATTGCATTATTTGAGTGCATGACTGTGACCAGGTTCAGGCTCCACACCGATTTTTCAGCGTTAAAGCACTTCCTTTTCGTCCAGCGTCCTCCCATAGTGCAGAATAAGCCCAGGAGTCTTGAATACAGCGAAAGTGTGTTGGCCTGTTCCTCTGCCGTTGCGGTGTGCTTTCGTTAGAGCTGAAGAACGCAGACAGCATTTTGATTTTTGGCTGCAACTTTATTTGTTCCCTAGATTGGTGCCAGCTACCCCAAGGACACCAAAGTAATGCAGATTTAGGAAACAGTTATTTTACACCTGGATCCTGCAGGAGCCAAATTCAAGTGTTTAAAAATATTCAAGAATGACTTAAATATATTGGGGGGGGGGTTGGTTTTGGTTTTCCGTTCAGAAACTTGCCTGGGTTTGACCTTCGCTTCTCAGCCTTCTGCGTATGGCCTGCGTGTGCGCTTCGCTGTTGTGGAAGCGTGGAAATAGGTTCTCTTTTAAAATAATATTGTGATTTTTAGATAGTTATCCCTGCGGGAATGGAAGGGAGAAGATGAAGCAGCAAGCGTGGTGGGTGGGATTTGGGGGCCATGCGGGGGTCCCCACCAGCCAGCAGCAAGCCCGGGGCATGGGGCACAGTGCGGGTACCGCACCTGGGAGCAGGGGCAGGAAAAGCATCCTCGGCACCTCCAAATGAGAGTTTTCTCTTTCTTCAGAGAAATATTCATAGGGGCTTCCCGTATCCATACGTACGTGTGTGTTCGTGTATCCCATTGTGTGTGCGCATGTCTTCAAAGGGAGAAACTGCAGTGAATATAACGGCAGCAGTGAATGCATGGGCTGTGTTTAGAATAGAATAGAATAGAATTAATTTCTCCTTGAAGGATCTGGAGGTGCTTTACCAGCATTAATGAGACCTCGATGTGTCCCGTCAGGACACTGGCACCCTCTTTACTTCTCCCTGCCTGGGCAAACAGCCTGGTGGGCATCCCCGGGGTGGCGGTGGCACCCCGTGAGCCCCCATCCTGCCAAACCCTTGCCTCCCAGGGGCAGGATGGGGCTGTTTTGGGGGGCCAGGATGGCAGCTGGGGAAAGACGTACGCTCAAGGAATCTTGTGCCCTTCTGAAACAGGTTTCAGAATAATAATAATGGGTTTCCATCATGGCAAGAAGCAAATAGCGGGGTGCTTTTCCCATGCCAGGAGAGATTAACCCTTTGTTTCCCCTCCCCTCCAGCGAGGACCCGTGGCGGGCGGCGAAGATGATCAAGGGGTACATGCAGCAGCACAACATCCCGCAGCGGGAGGTGGTGGATGTCACCGGCCTCAACCAGTCGCACCTCTCCCAGCACCTCAACAAGGGCACCCCCATGAAGACGCAGAAGAGAGCCGCCCTCTACACGTGGTACGTCCGCAAGCAGCGGGAGATCCTCCGTCGTAAGTACCCGCGCCAGCGCTCGCCCTTCGGGGCTCGGCAGGGTCGGGGCTGGGGTGAGTGCCGTGGGGGAGAGGGGGTCCCCGCATCCCCGTCCTGCCTGCGGGTACCCGGGATGTCCGGAGGAGGACGAGGAGCAGCCTCCCTGCCCTCTTCCCTCGCAGAGTCCCCCAGACCCAGGCTGCCCAGCATCTTCCTCGAAACAGTTTTACAAGTAAAATGAATTTAAGGCACGGGAAAACTGGGTCAGAGCCCCTCTTGGTCACAGGAACACTGTGCGAGTCCCCCCAGGCCCATCTACGCAGCCAAGTTTCTGTATGTTAGAGCTGGGAAAGCAATTAATGATTACACACAATTAGATGCCTTTCCCACCTCTGCCCCCTTTTCCTCTCTGTTTCTCAAGACTGCTCATTTTCTGCAACTACTTGCAAAAAAAGTAAAGAGAGAGAAAAGAAAAAAAATCTGCAAGTTGCTCCTACTTGTAGCATGGTCTCAGGGCAGTCCATGCTATTTAAAATGCAGGTGATTTTGACCAAGTACACAGACTCTTGCTTTTGTGCACCTCTCCCACCAACCCCTGCTCTGAAGCAGCCCTGGTTTTGGGCAAGCAGCAGGTTGGGGCACTGACAGCCCCCCTTAAAAGGGCTCTGCCTCCCTCCTCCAAAAGGATGCAATATCTAGCGGACGGGAAGTGCAGAAGAGAGTTTAGCACCAAATACCATTGCTTTGAAAACACACCTCGAGATGTTAGAGCAAACAGAGCCTGCTCCAGCCTTGCCCTGTGTTTCCCCCTTGTCGCAGAGGGAAAAGCCATTATAAAAAGAGGGAGAATTCTCCCGCAAAACTGAGAATAATAAAACCCTCCCATTAATCTCCCTTTACTGCCGCGGTGACAAGCGCCGGGTCCGAGGCGGGACGCCGGGGAAGGTCACCTCTGGTGCCTGCCTGCTGGGACGGGAGCGGGAGCCGGAGGGGAGCTCTGGGCGAGCAGGGAGAGGCAACCTTGCGGGGGGCTTTGCAGTCCTCCTGCCTGGCTCCCGGCTTGCAAAAATCCTCCCGAAACAAGCGCATGCTGGCAGAGACCCTGCCCACGAATATGCGTGCCCTTGCACATGCCTCCCCATGAAACGCCGTTCCCGAGGGATGGCAATAACTCCCTCGCCGGCGTGCAAGGCTAGCCCCTTCCCTGGGGTGGGTGGTGGGGGGCACCCGGCTTGCTCCAAAGCGTGCCGGGGCCGTGGGTTTGGGGTTCTTTTGGGAGGGGACATGGGGGGGGCCACCTCCGCGCGGGACGGTGACTCCGAGCGGCGGCTATAGGCCAGCTCACGTCTGCTCCTTTCTCTTTCAGAATTCAACCAGACAGTCCAGGGTTGTGGAAATATGACAGACAAAAGCAGTCAGGATCAGCTGCTGTTTCTCTTTCCAGAGTTCAATCAGCAGAACCAGGGGGCTGCCCAGCTCGACGACGCCTGCTCCGAAACCCCCAGCAAGAAGATGCGTCGCAATCGGTTCAAGTGGGGGCCGGCCTCCCAGCAAATCTTGTACCAAGCCTACGACCGCCAAAAGAACCCCAGCAAGGAGGAGCGTGAGGCTCTGGTGGAGGAGTGCAACAGGTAAAGGCTGTCCCGTGCCGCCCGCCGCCTCCTCGCCCACCCCACAGCCTTTCTTCCAAAAACTGCGTGCGATGCTGGGCTCCTGACCCGCAGCCGTGGCCGCCGGCTCTTGGCAAGGCTTTGCTGAGCTGCCTGGCCTCTTCTTGCCTTGTTTTCCCTACCTGGATGTCAACCAGGGCCGAGCGAGCTCCACGCTGGGGCGGGGATGTTGCAGGGATGCCGCAGGGATGTTGCAGGGATGCCGCAGGGATGTTGCAAAGATGCCACAGGGATGTTGCAAGGATGCCACGGGGATGCTGCAGCATTACAGCAATATCAGAGGGAGGAGGGATGGCTTTTACAGCATAGATGTAGTTAGAAAGAGCAGGCGGGCTTTTAGGAAGGGCTTAAACGTCCCCAAATTTACCTGTCCTCCCGAGGCCGCCTGCCCGGCGGCGCTGGCAGAGCCCCCCCCCAGCACCCTTGTTCCAACGTGTCCCCTTGCACGCACAGGGCCGAGTGTCTGCAGCGAGGGGTGTCTCCCTCCAAGGCGCACGGGCTCGGCTCCAACCTGGTGACGGAGGTCCGCGTCTACAACTGGTTTGCCAACCGGCGGAAGGAGGAGGCTTTCCGCCAGAAGCTGGCCATGGACGCCTACAGCTCGGGCCAGCCCCCGCACAGCATGAACCTGCTGCTGTCCCACGGTTCGCCTCACCACAACCAGCCCAGCGCCTCGCCACCCAGCAAAATGCCAGGTAAGCCCCTCGCCGAGGATGCTCGGGCAGCGGCGGCGGAGCGGTTGCAGTGCTGGCTCCCGTTTCTGCCGGAGAAAGGGGTGCTGAGCCCTGGGGGCCATGCCTGGGAAGGCTTTCGGGGTGTGTGGGGGGAAGATGGTCAGCCTGGTCCCTGCCGCAGCATCGAGGTGGGATGGCGGTGGGGAGGAGAGCGAGCGCTGTCGCTGCGGTGTTAAGGCCTGGCGAGCCACACGGCAGGGGCTGGGTTTCCGTCCTGCTGAGGATAAATTGGCGTTTGCTTGGTTGGTTTAATTCACCGGAGTCCCCGTGTGGGCTGGGCTGGGCAGGGGAAGGCTGTGCCCGCCCTGCTCCGCGCCTGACGTATCGATGCTGGGGACCTTGAGGCGCAGCCCGCTGGTTTCGGGGCGGGGGGGGTGGATGCACAGGCAATGCCGCAAAGCCCGTAGGAAGACGTGGCAGCGTATCCTGGAGCTGACCCAGGCTGGGTGCATGGTGCTGTACCGTCCCCGTGCTGGAGCAGAAGGAGGTGGCTGAAGAAAGCTGCTTGCGGGGTGCAGGGCTCACCCCAACCTCCACTTTTCCACACTGCCGTCCGGCCCCGTCGTGCATAGCAAAGAGCCGGCTGGGGAGAGCAGACCCGCCGAAAATTCCCGGCGGATTTAAGCGGGAGATAACGCCGCCGGGGAGGGGGCTGCGTGCCCAGGGAAGGCTTAATCGGGGCGGGTGGGGGGTGGCGTGGGGCGAGAGGCATTGTTGGGAGAACAATCCCCATTGTCCCCTTACCTGCCCTCTGCAGCCAACGCGCCGGCCCCCGGCAGGCAAGAGCGGGCGCTCGGCGGCGGGGGGTCAGCGCGGGGGCTGCGTCCCAACCGTCCCACGTTCCCTCCTTGGCCACGGCACCGGCGCAGCCCGGCCGGGGAAGTTAAAACCAGCCGCCTCTTCGAAATGACCCTGCCTGGCTCGTTCCGCACACCCAGCTGGTTACAAAGGCAAATTAAAAGAAACTCTCCGTGTGGCGGAGAGTCCCTGCGGGAAGGGCAAGGTGCCTGCGGAAAGGAGGCTGAGAGCCGGGGACGGTGCCAGCCCGTGGCTGGACAGCGGTCCTCGGGTGTTAGCAAGCGAGAGCAGCCCCCAAATTGGTACCCGGGGGATGCACCAGCCCCGGGGTGGGGGGGTCCGCAGCATCCGACCCAGCTCCCAGCCGTGGGAGGGACAGGCAGCATCCGACCCAGCTCTCGGGTACCGCTCTCCCCGTAGGGCCGGCCGGCGGTGACCAAAATGTGACCCTGCCCCAGGAATGCCCCGCACAATGGCGGGGACAGGGAGGACGTTTGCCCTCCTGTCACCGGCTGATTGCTTACAAGGTGCCCTACAAGCACATTGTCAGCAAAATCAGCTGTTTTCAGTGTCGGCCGGCGGGCTTTACAATACCCCACCAGCATGCAGCCTCGCGTTGTCATGGCGTTGTCCTCCCCGTGCATGCTTAATTGACAATTAAGCCGGGGCTTTGAACGAACCCCGCTGCCTTTGATGTGCCCCAGTCCTGCCAGCGCGCATGCAGGCACCCCACGAGAGCCTTTGTTTTCTTCTATTAGGGGACGGCAATTACTGTAACCGCGGGCATTTATCTGGGGGCTGGAGGGCCGTTAAGCCCCAACCTTTATTTTCCCGTCGGAGCAGTGGCCAGCAGGAGCCGGCCGCGGCTATAGGGCCGATGACAGCCCATTCGGAGGGGCTTTTGAGCAGGGCAGGAGTGATGGCCGCGGCGAAGGGCCCCTCCGGAGGGGTCAGGAGGGCTCGGCCGCGGGAATTCGTTGGCGGCCGGCGGTGTCGTATCCATCGGCCTTGCCGAGGAGACGGTCACGGCGAGGACCGCCGTGAGGTTCTGAGGCTGGTTTGGGGCCGACGGGCAAGGATGCGGAGCTCGGCCACGATCGCTTCGGGGTGGCTCGAACCAAAGCCCGGTCCGGCAGGCTTGCAGCTCCCAAAGCCGTCGCCGGGTCCCTCGCTGCTTAAACCTCTTCCAAGAGATGTTTGGGGAGCCGCTGCCTCAGCGGGGTGCGGGGCAGCGCTGGCGGGGCCGGCCCCCGCTGCCTGGCTGACCCCATCTGGGGTTGGCCATGCTGGGATTTGAACTGCCCTTGCACCGCGTGGCGGTGGCGGCGGCCGGAGCCCTCAATGCCTTTAACAGCTTAATGACGGCGCTGGGACGCTGCCCGCATCCCACCCCTGCGCGGCCCCGTGTCCCCCCCTCCCCGTGACATCCCCCGTCAGGAAACGATGGGGCTGGCGGCGTGGGGCAGCTGCAAAATCCCTCCCGTGCCCGCAGACAAAGAGGGACCGCCTGCTCCTCGGGACGTCGATGGGGTCTTGCGAAAGGGCGTAATGACGGCCAGGCAGGGATAAGAGCTGTAAAAGTCAAACATCCTCCCGGCCTCCTCTTGGGGACCCATCTGTCAAGCCTAAAGCTGTAGTTTTTAACTATTTGGAGGTAAATACTTAAAGCCTATCTATCTCAGAGGCTTCTCTCAGACTCTGGACTTTTCCCTTCCTATGGGGTATTATCAGCGATCTTGGTTGCCTGTTTGATTTGAAGGTCACTCGGGGCTTTATCTCGGTGCCATGCCGTAGACTCTGGCTTATGCCATTTTTATCTTCAAGAGCCCTGAAGACAATCAGCGCATTGATGAGATTAGGTGACGCACCGCCCCGCTCACCAGCCGCCCCCCGCCTCCCACCCTGCATACAAAGGGCCGGCCGGCGTCCGTCGGACCCTGCAAAGCCCCGTCCCAGTGGCTGGGGGTCACAGCATCGCCTCCAGCCCGTCCCGGGGGGTCCTGCACCGAAAGGTGGTCGAGGCATCGCTCCGTCTGTCCAGCAGTAGCCACGCTGCAGTATCGGAGCAATATCTGAGCAATCATGTATATACACACACAGATATATATATGAAAGTACGTTATTTATATATATTTTTAGATATCTCTATAGTTGCAGATAACAAACATAAAAATAACCCAGTACAACCCCTGAGATTCTTCCTAAACCCAAAGGGCAGTTTAAGTGTTTTAACTTTTTCTTAAAGAAGAGCCCGTCAATAAACCCGCAGTCCAGAGGTTCTTCAATTTATATCTGGATCCTACGTGTTGTTCCTTGGGGTATGTGCTGATTCTGACTGAGGACCTGGTGCCAGCAGTTGTAATATTTTACTATTGGGCGCATTGTGGGGCTCGGTAGGTACAGTGCGCTGTTAGGAGCTTTTCCCGGTTTTATGGGGGGTAATTAGAACTTTATGACAGCAGCGAAATGGGAGGGTCCAGTCCCCATAAACAGGTTTATAATGGATATAAACTATGCACCTCGGTAACTTAGCAAGATTAACACTTTAGGGACAATTTGAGTGGCAGCCCAAAAATCGGAGCTGCCCTCGGCGCTGCCTGGACCCATCTTTGGGAGGGTGAAACGGTCCCATCACCGCCCCGGCTGCTTCCATAATGTCAATAGGTGCAGCATCGCCGAGTCCAGCACAACCCCAAAAATGCCACTTTGCCTTTCTCACCCCGCTGCCGGGCTCCTGGTCCACGCTGGCGGTTGCATCGCCGTGGGTTGGGCAGAGCCGGGGCTGAATCCCTGCCGCCGCCTGAGTCATCAGTGACGAAGCGCGTAGCATGGCCGGGTCCGTTTTGGGGTTGGGCATTGCCGGCGATTTGCAGGATGTTTGCGAAGCTCCAGGCAAAACCGCAGCCTGGTGCTGGGCGAGCGGCGGGCGCTGCTGCCGGAGGAGGTCAGGATGTGCCATGTGGTGGCAGCGTGGGAAATGCATTTAAAAGTACAGTGATTTTTTTTTCTTTTTTTTTAAAGTGCAATTTATTCATAACAATATGACTTAAAGCAGGGGAGAACCAAGCTGCTTCACTAGACTCAAGGCTGATGTGTACCTAGAAAATGACACAAGCCTGCGATGAAAATAGCAAAGATGCGGATTGCTGCCCTAAACCCCCCCATTGCTCTCCCCACCCCAAAAGCCAGGTCGGGAGAATGGGTCTGGCACCCCTGAGAAGCCGGGGGGGGCTGGCTGCGGAAAGCCATGGGTGCACAGGACCCCCCGTGTCCTGGGGGCTGTCACGCTGCCCGTCCCCATCGGCTGAAACACAGGGTTAAGGCTCTGGGAGCCGGACCCCGCGGCTTGTCTGGAAACATGGGAAAGCAGTAAAACATTTCACGGGCAGTGAAGCTCAGGGGCCACACAATAGCCGGGTCCCATAAACAGACTTTTATATTATGGCTGTAGCTCCAGCTGGAAGAAAAAAAAAGAAAAAAAAAAGACCCTTAACGAGGGCAGGCTCCGCGGCCAGGTCCCTTCCCGGTGATCCCCATCCAGGCTCCGCTCTTGGGCAGCTGCGGGGAGAGGCCGAGGAGGAATAAATCTCTTTGCACGGGGGCTGCTTCCAGCTGCGGAGGCGCGGAGCGACAGGAGAACAGTGGCATCAGGCTTCAGTGGCCGTCTGAGCCCCTGCTCGTAAGCCCTGGACCACAGACCCCCCGGCTCACTCCCGGAGGAAACCTTCATATCCCGGCGTAAATCGCCGGAGCTGTCCCCGTGCATTCATGCTGGCTGGTGGGGTCTCATGGGGGGGTCCCACGGCGGGGGTGAGTGGTTGTGCTGCCAGGGGATGGCTGGCTGCTGGGGCTTGGCACTCCCTGCGATGGCAGATCCCGGCGAGGGTTTGCCGGGGAGCCGGGAAAGCCGGAGCAGGGGTTACCTGCCCTGCGGCAGCACACCGCGTCCTGGCGTTGTGCAGAACAGGGTCCTGCTGCTGTAAGAGAGAAAGCCCAAAAGCAGGGAAAGGGGGGGCAGCAAGGTGGCTGGGTGTGCTTGGGGGTAGCCTGGAAGTGGCTATTGCCCAGGGAGATGCTTTAGGCTAGGCTGAGCTGGAGCTCGCCGTGTTCGCTGGGAACGGGGAGCTCGGAGGAAAGGTACCCACCACCATCGTGGAGCTCTGTTTGTTATAGCAGTGGCAACAGCAACAGCAATAATGCCTTGTGCTGGTTTCCCAATATTAATTAGCTAATCTGCCCAAATCCAACCCAACCCTGGGGGCATACAAATAACAATAATACCCGTCCCGTTCTCGGGATGGGAAAAACCCAAACCAGGATAGTTGGTGGCTTCCTAAAGGTCTGCAAGGTAGCCGTGGCAGAAGACTTTTACCCTGCCCAGCGAGCGGTTTCTGGGCAGACCCAGGTGCCCACAGGCTTTGGGGACACAGGACCCCCCCCCACCCCGCCAGCGCAGCCCCTGCCTCTGCAGGAGCAGGGGGTCTTCTGAGGGGCCGGACAGTGGCACCGCTGCCGCCATCCCCGGAGCCCGACCTCGCGCTCCTTGGGAGAGTTAATCTTCATCAAGACTCAGAGTCTTCAGCGGTTTTATCTAGAGACCCAAAATCTCGGTCACCAGGCTATCTGAAAATCTCAGCATTGGTTATTGTTCCTCAAACAATAGTCTTGTCCTTAGGATTGCAAGGAAAAGCTTAAAAATCAGCTTTTAACATCTCGTGTGTTTTTAAAGACAACTTCATAATTCTGAGCGTCTTGGCTGATACGTTACAAGCATCCTCAGCTGGGTAAAGCCTGATTTTGGGGATTAAAATGTTGTTTGGGTTTTTTTTTTCATACTGAAAGCCTCACCAAACCCAAAAGTGATTGAAGATTGAGCAGAAACTCTGACTTTCTTTCCAATAGGAGCCGCCTGTGCTCCTCGTCTATCTTTAAGATCACGCTCAGAAGAAAGGGCTTTATTTTATCTCCCCTCCCATTGTTTAACCAGCGCTGCAGGATCTCAGACCGGCAGCGGCTGAAGCACACTCTGCACGAGGCCGGGACCGCAGGGAAGAATGTTTGTGACAGTGCCCTGGTTGAGTAATGTTTACCCTGTTCATGGCAGGGACGTCCACTCGGACCGGCAAATATCCACCTGCCAGAGGACATTCTTTTATTATCAGGGATAAAAGGGGTTTGCTGGGAAATGATCAGGAACCAGACATCGTGGGGAGATTCCTATCTGTGGGATGTGTTTAACCAGCTGATGGGGAAAATTCGGAGGTAATTGAAGAGTGACTTTGACGTGATTTTGGTGGAGGGCGCAGGTCGCCGTCTGCGCTTTGGTAGATGCTTTTGGAGGTTGTGGAGATCTCCCAGACTCTAGTTATCATTTCTTTCCCTTTCCTCAATTCAGAGATTTTTAGAGTAGCCCTTAGAGCATCCTTCACTGAGCCAGCCTGCATCAGCTCTTCCCCTTGGGCACCTGGGAGAAGGAGATCCCGAAATCCCAGGAGGAAAATCCTTTACCTGGGTGGGTTTGGTAGCTGGGGGTGTCTGTGCTGTGCCAGGACAGCCCAGAAGCTGCTGGTAACCTCCACAGGCTGAACCTCTCCGGCTGGCGGTCATTTTGGGGGGCCATCCCCAACACCCCTGTGCAGTGGCCGGGGGTCACGGGCGGACGATGCTCTTGGTGGTCTCGGTTGGGAGGGTGGCCTTCGCCACTGTGGTTTTCTTTCCCAGGAAAGCTGTGGGCTGTCCGTCCGTCCGTCCCCCGCTTCGATCCCAGCACAGTTCAGTGAACCTGGCCGGGAGCACGGTGCCGGACTCCTTGTAATAAATGGCTTTTTGCCGTAGTCATCGAGGCAGCCTCGTAAAAGACGCTTTTGTTTCCCGTGGGTTTTCCTCAGTTAATTATTTGTGATCTGTAGATGCCTTTCCACGACACATGGCTGATCATATGGTTATCAATGCAGGGTGTTTTAGCCAAATTAAATATATTTATATAGAAGATCCGTGCTCGAGCCAGATTTCCCTCCTCGGCGGTTGGTGGGCTGCGGTCCGACTTGGAGGTTTGTGTGTGTCTGGTCCCTCGGTCTTCCTGCGCTAATCTGTTAATCATACACTTGTTGAGAGGAAGTCGAGAGGGAAATCGGATGCAGAAGGGCCTGAGAAAAAAGCGAGAGCCATTGCTGTTCAGAGGTGGGCAGCCCTGGGCTGGCCGGGGGCTGCGAGGAGCCGGGTGAGCCTCGCAGAGGGAAGAGCTGGAGGACGCAGAGTTGCTCCCCGGCGGCTCAGGACCCTCAGGCCGTTGTCCGAGAGCCACGGGGACACGGCAGGAATTTGCACGATGGGTGCAAACTGTGCAAATTAAAGCAGAAGGGATGCAGATGGGTGTCCAGGCTGTTGGCCCGGGTTGGGCTCCCTCGGGAGCAGCTCTTTCTGCCCCACGGCATTGGGGTCCACGGGCAGCGTGGGGGCTGCAGCCCCAGTGGGTGCTCAGCATCCCTCACCGTAAACTTCTTGCTAATAATTTCAGCAGACGGGCTTGGGGAGAAGCTGGGAAGCGGCACTGGAGGAAGGGAAATATCGTTCGGTGCTGTCCCTCCCATTTATCGTTCGAGGGTGTCGTTCAGGGGCTCGCACGTCTGTTTGCATCCTTGTGCCGCGCACGCTGAGGGAGCCGGCGAGGGGTGGTGGTGATGGTGGGGGGGTTTCCCCTTTGCAGGACCACTTTCAGAGGGGGTTGGCACAGCCGGGGCACTCTCGTTGGGGTGCCCGTGGTTGATGCCAACGCCTGGCGGTGTTTTGCAGGGGTTCGGTACAGCCAGGCGGCAGGCGGAGAGGCGGCATCCTCCGGCACCATCAGCCACCACGGCAGCGGTGCCATGGTCACCAGCAGCCAGGCGGTCCTGCAGCAGGTCTCCCCGGCCAGCTTGGACCCGGGCCACGGTTTGCTCTCGCCCGACGGTAAAATGGTGAGTACACCTGGCCTATTGTGGCGGCGGCGCTGATAAGATAAGAGGGTCCAAGCGGGCAAAGCAAACACGCTTTCCCCCGGGGTTTCACACGCGGCCCGCGCCGAACAATGGGGCATTGTGGGGCCGGGGCCGCGGCGCGGGCGGGCGACCGTCCCCGTCACCCGCCTCAAAGGCAGCGTTTCGGCTCCCCGGCAGGCAATGGCGTGTTTTCCGAGCGCGGCCCATAAATCTGACGGAGCCCCGCTCTGAGTTTTTATCGATTGCGTGCCTTGCAGATGGAACGCGCGCTGGGTGGATCGCTGTTTGTTTTCTGCCGACGGCACGGGTGTCGATTAAACGCGCGTTCGTTATTTTTACCCTAAGCCCTCCCAAGCTTGGGGAGTTGCTGGGGAAGCGCTTTCCTTGCGAGCGGGGACCTCCTTGTCCCAAGGCATCGCCCAGGGCATCTAACCCACTAGTGCCAGCTCCGGCCCCGGCGTTCCTGCCTCTCCCCGTCCCCTTCCCCGCTCGCCGGGGACTCTGCTGCCAGGGCTTTGCTGGGCAGACCTGCAAACGCCAGCGGTGGCAGGCAACGGAGATGGGACATCGGCATCCCCGCCGGGTGCCCGATGACTTTCCCCGTGCTGGGTGCCGCACGTCTGCTGCGAAAAAGGGGGTCGTGAATGCAGGGCTGGGGCTGGGATTCCGATGCCCGAACGCTTGGGCTGCTCCTTTCCGTGGGCACCTGGGTGGCGCGAAGCCCCTTTGGAGGAGGGCACGAAGGAGCGGGGTGAGGAGGGGGTGGCAGGGGGACGGGGCAAAGATGGGATAGGAGCCGGCAGGCCTTTCCCGGAGCAGGCTGGTGGAGGTTTGCGTGCGGCCGCTGCTCTTCCGGGAGGAGGTTTTTTTTTTTCCCGATGAAAGCGAAAGTCAAACATGGCACTGGGCGGCCAAGCCCCGCTCGTCCCCAGTTTTCACTTCCATTTTCGGAGGGTTGGCCGTCCTGGGCCGTTGCGTCGGTGTCCTCGCAAAGCTGGGTGGCTGCAGAGGGGCTCGGCATCCCCTCCCTCAGCTCTGGCACCGTTTAATTTCGCCTTTCCTTCTGCTGCTGTCTGGCTCTGGTTTGTGAGGGTCTCCCTGCAGCCCCTCGCGCTCGGACGCTGACCCTGCAAAACCGAGCATCCCCTGCCAAGCAGGGGGGATATTGCAGAGCAAAACCCTGACCCTCCCAGCACGTTCCCTCTGCCCTGAACGCACCCGTATCTCCCCAGGGGTGTGTTGAGCCTTGTAACCCTGAGCCTCAAAGTCATAAAATGAGTCAGGAATAAAGGCAGCAGCAACAGCAAGCACCGAGCGCCCGGGGCGGGGGTCCGCCAGGACGAAGCGATGCCGAGTTCGGTGGCAGAGGCTGCCAGCAACCCCCCCGCCAGCTCCTTTTGCAGGGGCCGTGTCTGAGGGGTGGGTTTGCTGGAGCGCAGGAAAGGACCCTTGGATGGGGCAGAGGGAGGAAGCCGAAATGCAGCAGATTAGACTGGGAAAAGCGACCTGTTGAAGTGCAGAAGGCAGAGGCGTGCGGCAGCAAAAGCCCTGCTGAATTATCCCTGCTGCACGGGCGTTGCACAGCGCCGACTGGGACCACTTCGGCCCTCAGCAGCGTGTGGCTCTGCCAGCTTATCTCTGATCTTTAAGCAGGGCTAGCTAGTGCTTGCAAGTGATTTAATAAAAATATGCTGTAGGCTGTGGTTTCTAATAAGTAAACATGTGCCTTTAATACCCCACATGAAACTAAAAGCTGCCAAGGAAGTTGCTGCATCTGAAGGCAATTGATTTTTTTCAGGGCGGAGTGTTACTGAGGCTGCAGAAAGCTTTGGTGGTTCACTCTGTCGTGCTCCGGTGTTGCCCTTAGCCATGGTAGTGCCAGCAGGTATCCCCCGAGGGCCCGGTGTCTGGAGGGTCTTTTCCAGTCGTGCAGTCTCCAGAGGATTTCTTTTGGGTGCAGGGCTTTGGGTCTAAGCCCCCCGTGAAACAAGCCTGGGCTGCAGGCGAGCGGCGTGCACTTGCCGTGAGCTGTTTGACTTGTGCACCCAAGTGTGGCGTAACCTGGCCTTGAAGAGACTTTGAAAGTGGAAAATACCGGATCAGGAAATATGGGTCACTCCCAGGCTTTGGAATTTATTGATGGATTTGTTTCAGTTGCAGCGGAGCTATCTCCAACTCACATGTGCAAAATAAACAAGGTGCTCGGACTTGCGTCCAGAAGTATCACACCTAAAGCCGCAAGGATGGCTCTGAATCGGGATCGGGGTTGTTCAGTGCAAGAGGTCTAGTTGGAGGGATTAGGAGAATGTGCAGCGATTAAAGAAATCGGGCAGTTAGCCCCCTGTTTGTCCTGGGGACCAGCTCCAGTCCTCTTGGCACACCCCAAGTGCCTTTGTGTGTCTGATCCCTAAACGCTGACCTGAAATCCCGGGAGCTGGCTCTGGCTGAGCGCACCCAGCTCACCTCACCAGTATCCTGCCCGTCTACAAAAGCGGTGACTGAGATCATCACCGTGAGGCCCTTTTTATCTGCTTTCTGTCTTTTTTTTTTTTTTTACTTCCCGAGTTTGTATTTCCCACTTCCTTCTACAACCACGGCAGTTAGAAGTTAATGAGTGTTGAAAGTCCTCAGCTGTCCCCGACAGCAGGAACTTGGCCTTGGGGGACGAAATGGCAAAGGCTCGGGATGTGCCGTGTCCTGGCACCATGCTCCGGCGGAGCTGAAGCCAGCGCCAGCAAGGTCCTTCACCGCTGCTGCTTCACTATTCATTAACACGATGTTTGGGCATCCCAGCCGGGGTCTGCAGCCCCGGGGGCGGTGGGAGCCGTGTGCGCCGAACCGAAGGTGCCCCAGCAAGGAGGGGGCTTTGCTGATACCCCCCCCGTCTCCCGGCTGAAGCGGGTGGGCGGCAGGGGAGGGGGCCGGGGGCAGCCCCCCTTGGCTGTGCCACTGACGGTGGTCGTCCCGCCTTGCTCCTTGGCAGATCTCCGTTTCGGGGGGCGGGCTGCCCCCGGTGAGCACCCTGACCAACATCCACAGCTTGTCGCACCACAACCCGCAGCAGTCCCAGAACCTCATCATGACGCCGCTCTCGGGAGTCATGGCCATCGCACAGAGTAAGCGCGCGCCCCGAGCTCACCTCCGCGTGGACCCCCCGCTCCCGCGACGGGGAAGGGGGGATGCCCTGCCCGCTCGCGCCAGCGCTGACGTCCCTCTTCTGTTCTCTCCCTCCTCCCAGGTCTGAACACCTCGCAGGCGCAGAGCGTACCCGTTATCAACAGCGTTGCCGGCAGCTTGGCAGCCCTACAGCCGGTCCAGTTCTCCCAGCAGCTCCACAGCCCGCACCAGCAGCCGCTGATGCAGCAGTCACCCAGCCATATGACGCAGCAGCCTTTTATGGCTACCGTGACTCAGCTGCAGAACTCGCACAGTAAGGGTCCGGGTGGTAGCTGTGAAGGGAAGGGCCCAGAAAATGACTTTAGGTGGAAAATAAGCTTTTGCTCTCTTCCTGCTCTCCCCTGCCCAAGCTTGCGCCCTTGGCTGCCGCCTTTCTCCCGCAGGTACCAGCCGGCGCGGCGATGCGAGCGGGATGCACGGCGCTGTGGGGTGGCCGCATCCTGCCCCATCCTTTCCTTCCCCCGTGCCATCCACCGTGCTGCATCTCCCGTACGGCTCCGCTGCTGCCCCGCGGGTGGGATGCAGCACCCCCGCTCCAGCATTTTGTACAAACTTTATTTTTCCTTCCATGTTCTTGTTGCTAAAACACCTGCTTTGCCAAAGGAGGTGTCTAAGCCTTTTGCGCTCCCTGCAGAGCAAACGCTTCCCCGCTGTGCCCTGAAGGGATCTGGCTTTTTGCCCCCCCCCGGCTCATCCATCATCCTGGCCCCAGCCCTGCTCCAGCACCCGTCTCTGCTGCAGAGGGGTTGCAGAGCTCCAGCATCTGAGCCCTTTAGTCCCCACTGATTTCACTTGGCGAACTGGGAGCTGAGAAAGTGGTGGCTTAGAGGCAGGCGGTGGTTTCTTTCCGTGGCTTGTTTTATCTCTTTGACGTCTCCGCGACGCTCGTTCCCGCGCAGCACCCCTGCGACCTGCCGTAAGGCAGCGCTCGGCCGCTCTGCCCCGGCGCGAGGGCTCTGGGTGGCTTTTCCGTGACGGCCGCTTGTCTCCCTCCTCTCCGCAGTGTATGCGCACAAACAGGAGCCTCCCCAGTATTCCCACACCTCCCGCTTCCCCTCGGCCATGGTGGTGACGGATACCAGCAGCATCAGCACGCTGACCAATATGTCTTCCAGTAAGCAGGTAACGGCCGAGGGTGCGCTGGGGTGGGCGTGCGGAGATGGAGCGGGGCTGTTTCTCCACTGGAGACGGGGCCGGAGGAGGGTTTCGCAGAGACCCTGCATCCACACGGGCAGCGGAGGGTGAGCCTCAGGGCGCCGAGAACCCCATCCCAGCCCCTTCACAGGCTCCGAAAATCCTGCTTGCAGATGGCAAGAGTGATGGGGATTTGGGCGATGCTCTGACTGTGCTGGATGAAGACTTGTCTAATGCCCGGTGGTACTATCGGGGCTGTGCTCATCTCTGGGGCAACTCCATCAGCGTGGGAGCATCCTACTGGGGTACAAATTGGGCTGAGAAGGTCGGGACCAAGCGGGCTCTGCTGCCTTTGTGTCCAGGGTGTATCAACCCTGATTGGAGTCAAGCGGAGGAGCCAGGCTCCGATGCACCCCGACTTCCCCCAGCCAGTAAATCTTTATCATCTGCCCAGTGCCGGCACAGGTGTAAGGCAGGACTTATCCTGGTTCAAATCAGGTGTGCGAGGCCTTACTCAGACAATAGTCCTTTTCTAAAAGCCAGCTCTGGGGACTGTGGGAAATATGTGGCCCTTATTGATTGCTAGATAAATAAGAGAGCCTTGAACTTGCATTCAGATAAACTTTCTTACCAAGGTTTGACAGGGGAGAGGAAAAAAATGTCTGCAATGACCACAGAGTAAATACGGCATGGGATTGCTGGGAGACCCCCCCCGTGGATGCCCGGCAGGGGTCGAAGGAAGGAGCTGGGGCTGCAAAGAGGAGAAGTCAGGAGAGGGGCTGCCCTGGGGGGAGTTTGGGGTGCCCGGGAAGGGGTGATGAACACCATCGCCCCTGGCTCGGGTCGGGCTCCCGTGCTTTGTAGCGCTGGGGGTGACCATTTATCTGCGCCCGCTCATCTCGGTCCGGGAGGCGGTCAGGCACGGCCGCGTTCCTCGGGAGCACCATTTCCTCCGCACGGCTTTATCGGCCCATCTGGTGTGCGCTCAGCCCGAACTCCCCCTGATTAATTGTGCTCTCCCGCCACGGGCTGCCTTTGATGCCGGGCTGGCCGAAAGGAGCCCTGGGCATACAGGAAATATCCCTGGCAAAAAGATAGCGCCCGGCCATCCCTGCCGCCCGGCCGGGCGCTGCGATCAGCCTACCTTGACGCAGCGCTGCCTGGGGTGACGGGGGGCTCCCTCGGTTTTCTCCCTCCATCACGCTTTTGCGCTTTAATTAAAGCAGGAGGAGGCCTCGCGGCTTGGGGGGGGACATCCGCTGCGGCGGATGGGTGCAAAATGCCAAAGGGGCACGCACCCACCTTGTTAGTCTCCCCGCCGTACATGATGAACAAGCACGGGCTGGTCTTGCAAGCACCAGGAGCAGGATCTGGCCCCTGGCCCCTGACCTGGGGCCAGAGCGGGCGCTGGGATCGTGTGTCCCCCCCCAGCGCACCTTCGCAGCCCCTGGACCCTCTTCTCCCACCAACCATTCGATGTTCAAGCTAAAGCTGGAAAAATTTATCTTGGAACATGGATTTTTTTTGTCTTAGTGGTCACCCATTTCGTTAGCAAGGGGCGAATGAAGTGCTACAGAGGCAGCACGGGGGGGCTGTAAATGCTGCTGACCCCCCAAATGGCTCAAACGCCTAAATATTTTTGGTGATTTGGGTTTCTGTCACTGACTGGGGCTAACAGAGGCCATCCCTTGGCTCCTCCATGCTTTGCCTGGCATGAGGCTGGCACTGCTGGGCACAAGGATGTCCGGCAGCGATGGGCTCCTCCAAGGTGGCCAAAAAGGGCAGGAGGGTCACTGGGATCCCCAGGGGAGTTGCAGTTTTTGGAGCAAAGTTTGCTGGGCGAGGGCTGGGCGCTGCTGGTGGGAGCACACGGCTAAAGCCACGGGGTGCACAGCCCACACGAAACCCCAAATCTGGGGGGGCGGCGCCGCCCTGCTGCTCCCTGAGCAGCCCCGTCTTTGCAAGAGGAGAGGCATTCCCATGCAAAACAAAGCCTCCGTCATTCCTCGGCGGCTCTTCTGCATCCCGCAGCCCCCGTGCCAGATCCTGCAAATCCGCTCAGTGGCAAAGCCCGGCTGCTCCCGGTCCTGCCGGTGGGACGGAGGCTGGAGGGATGGAGGCTGGTCCCCCCCACCGGCTCCCCGCTCGCAGCCCAATGCTGCGGATCGCTTATCAGATGTTGTTATTTAGACCTGGAAGGGGCAAATACCTCCCGGTTCCTTTGACGACGCTTGAGGCCGAGCCACCATTTTTATTACGTTAGCAAACACCTGATAGCCACGGCCTGTCCCTAATGACATGTCACGGGAGGCTCCTGGCGTCTCCTTATCTCCACGTTATGATGTTTGCTGTGCGCTCCAGCCCACAAGGTCACCCACGGCTCCCGGCCCCCCACCCCACCGGTGACCGGGGGGACCCTGGGTGGGGGTCCCACCCCGAGGGATGGAGAAGGGACCGCTGCGGTGGGACGGATGCGGCGGTGGGGGCTGCTCAGCTCCTTCCCCGGAGGTGACAGCAACGCTGGGAGACAGGGATGAGCGCGGCCCCCGGCCCCGCTCCCACCGGAGCGCAAGCTCCCATGCTCAGCCTCACGCCTGGCTGCTCTTGGCAGCACTGCCAGCCTGGGCACAAACAGGCCCTTTTTATTATTATTATTATTATTTTTGGGAGGGGGTGGCAATATCTGGCTCGGAAAGTATTTTCCCACTGCCTCCCCCTCGGCGGGAAGGGCTTGGGGCCAAGCAGGACTTGTGCGGCACCATCAAGGTCCCAGGGTGGTACAGGAGGTGATGCCTCCAAATACTTTGCGATCCCACCAGAGAGTCCCCCGCAGCGCTGCCTTCACCTCCTGCCTGCCTGCCGGTCACTGTGCTGCTCTCTCCCTCCCCAGTGTCCCCTGCAAGCCTGGTGATGCTCCACACCTCGCTGCTTTTGCACATAGCAACGGGATCTTATTTTCCACAACATCCCGCCGGTGATCCGCACGCCGAGCCCGGGGAATCGCCAGAGTGAAGCCCAGTGCCGCAGCGAGGAGCCCATCAACCCGAAACAGAGCCGGAGGCTCGAGACTCCCCGTCGCCCTTCCGCGCCCCGCCGGGGACGAGCCCGGATTCGTGGGGTGCCCACCCAGGACCGTGCCTCTCCTTCCCTCCACGCAGTATTTCCAAGACGTGTCTTGGGGATTTTATTCTTAAGTATTTGCCTTCCAAGAGGCCGTTGGCTCTCCTGAAGAACTGGGAACAAGCTGTACTGGGAACTGGCAGAAGGGGAAGATGGATAATATTTAAGTTATACTCCTCCACCCGACGGACTGAGAGGGACTTGGGTCTGTTACTTGGTGTTTGGAAGGAGGAATCGCATGTGCTGTTGAACTGAGCCAATTAAACTGTAAATATAGGTGCAGTCTCATCCTCACCCTTCCCCACTCTTATACATAGAGATTTATATAAAATAAGTAAATTTTGTTCAATGGATGTAAACTACTGTAATTAAGTGCAATTCCCCCATCTGTATATATTGTTCCCAAGTCTTCTCTCTCTCCCTTTTTTTTTTTCTTTTTTTTTTTTTGGTAAAGGTCAGAGTTGAGGATAGTTTTGTATTTCTCTTCTTCCTTTAAATGAGTTAATTCAAAGACCTGGGCCTAGGCAAGGATGCCAGTCAGGCAGCACCCGACTCTGCGCTGCGGGAGGACAGGCACACGCGTGTCCTCTGCACGGTGATGTCCCATGTGAAGGAAGGGCACCGGGCAAGTCGAGCAGAGCCCTGGCAGGACCCGGACAGTCTGCGTGGGGACAACTGCCGCTATGGAGATCTCAAGGGACTCTTCTGCTTTTGGGGACTCTGAGGTGGACTGGGGAGGGGTGGGGAAGTGCTCAGCAGCCCGGTCAACACATCCAGACCACTGGGAAGCGTTCGATATCGGCAGTTTTCAGGTGAGCCTGTAGCATTTGCTGCTACAGAGGTGAATGAGGCTGCGAGAAATTCTGGTGGGATCTTCCTCAAATGGGGTTCAGAGGCTGTCTCCCTTTTCTCCCCTCCCTGGGGCACGGGAGGGACCGAGTGCCCAGTTACTGCCTTGCTCCTGCCCAGTAAACAGCCAGTACCGGTGGGTTATTTTCCACCATTAGGAGGTTGATGAGCCTTGTTGGCTCCACCTTTATCAATAAACACGGTGTTCTCGTCCTCGTAGCGTGACCTCCAAGCTGCAGCTGGACGGACGGGCGCTGGGCTGCGATGTGAACGCACCAGTCCACAGTCCCCACCGGCTGCCTGCCTTGTCTCGCCTGGCAGCGGCTCTTGGAAGAAAAGCTTTGCAGCGAGATCTCCAGCTTGTGAATGAGCCCACCTCTGCGGTGAGGGCATGTCCCAGCTGGGCACCCACTGAGGACACCGGGCTCCGCACCCTCTAGAGCCCTGAAGGGGTTTAGGTGCCCGAGTCCTACCTCCCAAAGCTGCAGAAGCTGTAAAAGTCATCGTCTCCCCTCCTGTGAGACACAAGCTCCTCCAAACCTGCTCCCCTTTGTAAATGGATCTAATGCTCTCCAGTTTTGCAAATTTTTCTTGAACTTTGCAGCATGTGCCAACTGCTGAGTGATTTGGAGAGCAGTAGAGGTGCCCATGGACAGATGACCGCTGCTAAAAAGAAGAACACTGGATGCTTTCTTTGGGGCAAGAAAGGCTCTTTTGCTCTGTGTTTGTACAATGTCTAGCGCAGTGGGACCCTAACCCTTGCTGGGACAGATAGGAGTTGCCCTACGGTGAATAAGTCATCACGAATTGGAGATCAATATTCAGAATGACATTTAATTTAATGTATACCATAATTAAATACCATTTCTTCTGAATCATTGCTGCGTGTGGTCTGTAAATTCCGCAGTCATCTTCTGCTGTGGTTTGGCAGACATCGGTCCAGCAGGGACGCAGGCTGGTGGCAGTGACATGTCCCTCCTCCTGTCCCTTGCAGTGCTGATCTAAGTTTCTACCTGCCTGAACGTGGTGAGTCAAGTGTTTCTTATGAAGCCCCAAGTATCAGCCAAAACCAGCAAGAGGCTCCAGGAGGTCCGGAGACCTGTGTCCTCACCCTCCTAATGATGCACTAATGATATGGCCCTTAGTCCAGCAGAGTTTATTCCTCATCCTCCGCTAACTTTAGCAGCCGAGTGTTAAGCAAACCAATTAGGAGCCGACTGCCAGACAAAGCCAAACCCCATCCGTTTTGGATACTGAGCCCGTGGGTCAGTAAAGCACGAGGGGGAGGCGGGAGGGTGTGCTGCGGTCGCTGTAAAGCTTTTGAAGATCTTTGATGGTGAAGAGCTAACATAGCTGAGTGACTCGGAGCACATCAGTAGGAAAGGGTGGCCCTTCTGAAGATGCAGTGCAGGGCTGTGGTTTTAATCACCTTCAAAAATGCCTGGTTTTGGTTTGGCACCCATTTTTTTTTATAAGTTAAGTGTGGCCTGCTGCAGGAAAGGCTTTCAGAGCAGCAGTCTGGTGCTCACCTTTATAGCCTGAGCAGGGCATCCTGATAAAAACCTTCCCACAGAGTTTCTTTGTTTCTGTGAATTTTAGCTACCCCAGACAAAAACTGGAAGCGCGAAGCTGGAAAAGGATGGGAGGCATGAAGACTGCTTGGTCCCTTTCGTGCGGACTCGGAAGTGATGCACTCTTTTAGCAAAAGTTGGAGAGAAAAGATGCAGGTTTTATTCCAAGACCCCCCCATTTGCACCTTCCTGCTCAGCAAGTCCTTTTCAACACACCTGAATGCCAGGCTGAGCCCTTTTCAAATTCTGCTCCTAACTATTGCATTCCCACCAGTCAGGGTGGAAATGACTTGGATTCTTCTACTTATGCCAATTACGTTTTGCTCTGTGAGTGGCTTGTGAAGCTAAGGGGGGGGTAAGCTTTCCCCAGCTGATGCATATCCAGCATCAGGTTGAACTGGTCCTGCAGTGGAATGGGCAATCCAGTGGGAAGCAGGGGGGAGAAAGAGGCACTAAACCTGCTGTAGCTGAGCTGATGCTCCAAGGAGGAGGGGGGCAATACATTTGGGGGCTTGATTTCTGCACCAGCTTTAAGATAGACACAGACTGAGAGGTGTGGGGCTTGGGGTGTGAAAACTATGTGTGGAGCACCCTTTGGTAAGTGGTCCAGTATCAGCACTGCTCTCCAGAAAGCCCCGCAGAGAAGGTAAGTGAAAACCTTGGGGAAAGGAGACTCCAAGATACACCCTCACTGGAGAGGTACCTGGGGAGGGAAGGGGGGACTGAGCCAGAAGAAAACAGGGAAAAAGGGCATAGGACACATCCAAACACACAGATGGAGAAGTTGACTACCATGGAGCAAAGAGCGTGTGATAAAGCAGGCAGGGTAAAGTCAATAATATGAATAGAACAAATGATCAGGAACAGATGGTATTTACCCAAGAGGTGTGAATTTACGAAGTTGCCAAACAGCTTGTTGTGTGCTGTCACCCACCCCTGGGTAGCAGGTGACGGGAAGGTAGAAAGCATGACAGGTTGCTAGAGGATGCTGTGGATGCTACACATACCAATGCCTTCAGGGAGAGAAAGGTTCCCCTGACTTGAATTTAACCTCTGGCTGAGGAAACCTTTCTGCCCAGGGAAATACCATCCAAAACTGCTTCCCCGAGCAGCCTCTGCAGCAGCTGGCCTGGGGCTGGGGCTGAGGCTGTCCCTGCCCAGACCTCACCTTGCACTGGAGAAGCACTGGGTGGGGGTGTTTGCTGCCGCAGAAGCCCTGGCTGCCTCATTAAGTTGTTGGAAAATAGGATGTAATGTGAAATGAGGCTCCTGGAAGACACTTCTTTTCATTCCTGTTGCTGTTGGGCACGTCATGTTTGCCTATGATGCAGTTGTTACAGAGCAAAGAAACAAGCAGAAACATGACAAAGTTCATTTGTGACCAATACAGTTTTACAGGGCTGAGTGATTATGTTACCGTTCAAAGCTGTTCACAAGGGGATTCCTTGCACATGAGGATCCACAGGCTGCTATGAGGCTTTATCGGTCACTCTTCTTGTTGATAACAAACTGCAGCCTCCTTCACAGCAGAGCACAGGGATACAGCTGCATTTAATTTGGAGTGCAGGTGTGGATGTAAAGGAAAAATCCCCCAAATCCCAGCGTTACCGAGGCCAGGGGGGTAAGACCCAGGGTGAGAGTTGTTGTGGCTCTCTGTGATGTGAGGACTCACTCTCCCCAGGGAGGTATCCCCCAAAGTTCACTGTGTTTCAGTGCTACTTCCCTGACCGGGATGTGCAGGCTGCAGGGCAGAGGAAGGGCACGGATGGGCACGGGGAAGCCCCAAGAGGTGCGGAGGTGGGATGTGGGAGGGCTGGGCAGGAGCGTGACCTCTCCTTTACTTCCAGAGGAGAGCACAGCCCTGTGACACCTGCCCGGACGGGTAAATCCCGTGCCCTGACTGCCTCCTGTTTGTGCTGCAGCACCGGCAAAGCTGCCAGCGGAGTCACTGGGTCAAAAGCAGGTTAGTGCTGCCCTCGCCGCCTGCCCCGGAGCCGTGATAGGGCTTTATCAGGCCATGAGCACGAGCCCTCGGCATGGGGCTGTGGCCATCCCTGGGGAGCAGGGGTCCTCGGCGCTTATCACCTCCGTAATTGTGGGGAGGAACGGAGCTAGGGAAACCCTGTCCAGGGCCAAAACCCTGTGTACCGGCTGCTGGGCGGAGGGCTGGGACACCCTGGTGCTGGGCTCCCCGTCCCCAGGTGCCTGATGACAGCCCAGTGGTGGTTCAGACCTCGCTGCCAGAGCAGTGCTGCGGCTGGAGCAGTGCCAGGGCTCGGCCACCATCCCCAGTGCTCCTGTGCTGGCCGAGCTCTGGCCCTGCTGCAGCCAGTCCAGCTCACATCGGCCAGCGTCGAGCATGCGGATTACTAAGGAAGTTCCAGGTCATCCCCGTGGAGGGTCAGACGTCCCGTCGGCCGTGAAGGCAACGGCCTCTCCAGGGATACCGAAA